GTGGGCGAGCGTGTGGGCGAGCGTGTGGGCGAGCGTGTGGGTGAGCGTGCGGGTGAGCGAGCGTGTGGGCGAGCGAGCGTGTGGGCGAGCAAGCGGGTGAGTGAGTGAGTAAGTGAGCATATGGGTGGGTGAGCGAGTGAGGAGTGGGTGAGCGAGTGCTTGAGCGAGTCAGAGAGTGAGCGGGCGAGCATGTGGGCGAGCGTGTGGGCGAGCCTGTGGGCGAGCCTGTGGGCGAGCGTGTGGGTGAGCGTGTGGGCGAGCGTGTGGGCGAGCGTGTGGGTGAGCGTGTGGGTGAGCGTGTGGGCGAGCGTGTGGGTGAGCGTGTGGGTGAGCGTGTGGGTGAGCGTGTGGGCGAGCCTGTGGGCGAGCCTGTGGGTGAGCGTGTGGGTGAGCGTGTGGGTGAGCGTGTGGGCGAGCGTGTGGGCGAGCGTGTGGGCGAGCGTGTGGGTGAGCGTGTGGGTGAGCGTGTGGGGGAGCGTGTGGGCGAGCGTGTGGGCGAGCGTGTGGGCGAGCGTGTGGGCGAGCGTGTGGGTGAGCGTGTGGGTGAGCGTGTGGGCGAGCGTGTGGGCGAGCCTGTGGGCGAGCCTGTGGGTGAGCGTGTGGGTGAGCGTGTGGGTGAGCGTGTGGGCGAGCGTGTGGGCGAGCCTGTGGGCGAGCGTGTGGGCGAGCGTGTGGGTGAGCGTGTGGGCGAGCGTGTGGGCGAGCCTGTGGGCGAGCGTGTGGGCGAGCGTGTGGGCGAGCCTGTGGGCGAGCGTGTGGGCGAGCGTGTGGGTGAGCGTGTGGGCGAGCGTGTGGGCGAGCCTGTGGGCGAGCCTGTGGGCGAGCGTGTGGGCGAGCGTGTGGGCGAGCGTGTGGGCGAGCGAGCGTGTGGGCGAGCGTGCGGGCGAGCGTGTGGGTGAGCGAGCGTGCGGGCGAGCGAGCGTGTGGGTGAGCGTGTGGGCGAGCATGTGGGTGAGCGTGCAGGCGAGCGTGTGGGCGAGCGTGTGGGCGAGCGTGTGCGTGAGCGAGCGTGTGGGCGAGCGAGTGTGTGGGCGAGCGAGCGTGTGGGTGAGCGTGTGGGCGAGCGTGTGGGTGAGCGTGCAGGCGAGCGTGTGGGTGAGCGTGTGGGCGAGCGTGTGCGTGAGCGAGCGTGTGGGCGAGCGAGCGTGTGGGTGAGCGAGCGTGCGGGCGAGCGTGTGGGCGAGCGAGCGTGCGGGCGAGCGTGTGGGTGAGCGAGCGTGCGGGTGAGCGAGCGTGTGGGTGAGCGTGTGGGCGAGCGTGCGGGCGAGCGTGTGGGTGAGCGTACGGGCGAGCGTGTGGGCGAGCGTGTGGGCGAGCGAGCGTGTGGGCGAGCGTGTGGGCGAGCGTGTGGGCGAGCGTGTGGGTGAGCGTGTGGGCGAGCGTGCGGGCGAGCGTGTGGGTGAGCGTGCGGGCGAGCGTGTGGGCGAGCGTGTGGGCGAGCGTGTGGGCGAGCGTGTGGGCGAGCGTGTGGGTGAGCGTGCGGGTGAGCGTGTGGGCGAGCGTGTGGGCGAGCGTGTGGGCGAGCGTGTGGGCGAGCGAGCGTGCGGGCGAGCGTGTGGGCGAGCGTGTGGGTGAGCGTGTGGGTGAGCCTGTAGGCGAGCGTGCGAGCGAGCGAGCGTGCGGGCGGGCGAGCGAGCGTGCTCCTCACCACTCGAGGATGTTGGAGGGGAGCGGCTCAGCGCTCACGTAGGGTACAGGGTCCCGCTGGATGCGGAGGTAGTCCTGCTTGAGCCTCTGTGTGGCGGTGGTCGGAGTCCGCTTCCCACCTCCGCTCATTGCTGCCGACATCGTCAACATCGTCAACATCGTCAACAACTGTACACTACACCACTACCTTACTCGACACCATATCATTACATTACTACGCACCAGACTACTACACTACACCATAGCTTCACCCCCGTATTCTTGTACAGGGAAAATTGGGTTTTGAGGTCCATACACTGACACACAGACACACACTCACACAAAGAGGTACACTGACACAACAAAAGACAAAGCTCCCCCATATAGCCTGTAACAGACTGTAGGGGCAAGTGCTGTTAGCTAGCAGCACCTATGAAGGCCGGAATGGTACACGAGGGGGGTGGGTGGCCGGCACCACGCCCGACCGCCTTTGTCTCCCCAGTGGCGATGTTTACTACACACCGCACCAGGTACTCATTTGAGGCCGAGTCGACCTAGGGGAGGCCCGGGACCGGTTCAGATAATCGTCGCTGGTGTTGGCCGTGAGCGGGAATCGAACCCGGGTCGCCAGGTTCATAGCGCAGCGTAGCGCTAACCACTACACTACCCCTACACACACACACAGTGACACACACAGTGACACACACAGACACACACATACAGGGACACACACACACACAGTGACACACACACACACTGTGACACAGTGACACACACAGACACACACACAGTGACACACAGTGACACACACAGACACACACACACAGAGAGACACACAGTGACACACACAGACACATGCACACACAGTAACACACACACAGTGACAACAACCGCCATTCGCCACTAAGTGGCGGTGACGTCACCACGACGCTTGTGCCAGGCTATGTGCACCTTGAGGCCACGTGGAGTGTCGAACGCCCGCTGGCAGGAGGTCACGGGCAGACCCAGGTGCCACGGGTCGACTGACTGAGATGACTGGCTGATGCACCACCTGTGCCCCCTACTGTGCCAACCTGCTGTGCTTTAGCCACCCGGCGCTCCGCTCGCTGTTGTGAGCGTCGCTCCTCCGCCCTCCGTTGTTGTTGGAGGGCGACTGCCTCCAACTGCCCAGTAGCATCCTTCACGAGCCTCCTCCACAGAGGCCGATCTTGACACCGCTGGTACCAGTCATCGGCAAGTCCACTCAGCTCCACGTCCTCCTGTACCACATCACTCCATCTCTTCTCTAGCCCGTGCCGCGCCCGCTTAACCCCCTCAATCCGGCCAAACAAAAGCTGTTTCGGCATGCGGTGGCTGGGCATGCGGGCTACATGACCCAGCCATCGCAGCCTTGCCTGCCGGAGGAGCTCACCGATGGGACCCTGCCCAGATCTTTCAAGGATTTGTGAGCTCCTCACACAATCCAGTCTGGTTAAACCCAGGATGGATCGTAGGCAGGCCAGCCTAAATGTTTCTAACCGGCGAAGATGTTCCATTAGGGGGGTCCACGTTTCGCAAGCGTAGAGAAGGGAGGGAATGACCGTGGCCGAGAAGACCTGAAGCTTAGTGCGGAGCGACAGACCAGGTAGCTTCCACACAGCGTTACGCAACCGATGAAAAGATATTGCCGCTCGACTGATTCGGAGTGAGACCTCTGCTGTTAAACTGGAGCGAGTCATAAGCACACTGCCCAGGTATGGGAAACGCTCCACTCTCTCCACAACTGCCCCATCACCGATTGGGAGTTGTGGAGTGTTCTCGTGCTTTTGGAGTACCTGACCCTCTGCTCACGATCATTAAGGACCTTCATGATGGTGAGCGGGCCCGGGTAAAACTACGTGGCCGGGAGTTAGAGCCATTCCCTGTACACCTTGGGGTGCGACAGGGATGTCCTCTGGCTCCCACATTATTTAACATCTATTTTGACCACTTAGTTCGTGAAGCCTTCAATAGCTGTACCGGGGGAATCTCCATTTGGTACAGATATAATGGGAGGCTAATTTGATGCCCGGGTGCGGTCAAGGGATGGCTCCCTATTGCTCAACCACGTTATGTATGCTGATGATTTGGTAATAGCTGCTCATTCAGAGGAGGAGTTGGAGACGCTGCTGAGTGACACACACACACAGTGACACACACACAGTGACACACACAGTGACACACACAGTGACACACACAGTGACACACACACAGTGACACACACAGTGACACACACACAAACACAGTGACACAAACACAGTGACACACACACAGTGACACACACACAGTGACACACACAGTGACACACAGACAGTGACACACACAGTGACACACACACACAGTGACACACACAGTGACACACACACAGTGACACACACACAGTGACACACAGACAGTGACACACAGTGACACACACAGTGACACACACAGTGACACACACACACACAGTGACACACACACAGTGACAACAACAACAACCGCCATTCGCCACTAAGTGGCGGTGACGTCACCACGACGCTTGTGCCAGGCTATGTGCACCCTGAGGCCACGTGAAGTGTCGAACGCCCGCTGGCAGGAGGTCACGGGGCAGACCCAGGTGCCACGGGTCGACTGACTGAGATGACTGGCTGATGCACCACCTGTGCCCCCTACTGTGCCAACCTGCTGTGCTTTAGCCACCCGGCGCTCCGCTCGCTGTTGTGAGCGTCGCTCCTCCGCCCTCCGTTGTTGTTGGAGGGCGACTGCCTCCAACTGCCCAGTAGCATCCTTCACGAGCCTCCTCCACAGAGGCCGATCTTGACACCGCTGGTACCAGTCATCGGCAAGTCCACTCAGCTCCACGTCCTCCTGTACCACATCACTCCATCTCTTCTCTAGCCCGTGCCGCGCCCGCTTAGCCCCCTCAATCCGGCCAAACAAAAGCTGTTTCGGCATGCGGTGGCTGGGCATGCGGGCTACATGACCCAGCCATCGCAGCCTTGCCTGCCGGAGGAGCTCACCGATGGGACCCTGCCCAGATCTTTCAAGGATTTGTGAGCTCCTCACACAATCCAGTCTGGTTAAACCCAGGATGGATCGTAGGCAGGCCAGCCTAAATGTTTCTAACCGGCGAAGATGTTCCATTAGGGGGGTCCACGTTTCGCAAGCATAGAGAAGGGAGGGAATGACCGTGGCCGAGAAGACCTGAAGCTTAGTGCGGAGCGACAGACCAGGTAGCTTCCACACAGCGTTACGCAACCGATGAAAAGATATTGCCGCTCGACTGATTCGGAGTGAGACCTCTGCTGTTAAACTGGAGCCAGTCATAAGCACACTGCCCAGGTATGGGAAACTCTCCACTCTCTCCACAACTGCCCCATCACCGATTGGGAGTTGTGGGGGTGGAGTGTCCGATGGTACAAAATACCCAGGCAGGTGCTTAGTTTTGGTGGGGCTGATGGTAAGGCCCCACCTCTTAGTGGCATGCTCCAGTCTCAGCAGCAGCGTCTCCAACTCCTCCTCTGACTGAGCAGCTATTACCAAGTCATCAGCATACATAACGTGGTTGAGCAATAGGGAGCCATCCCTTGACCGCACCCGGGCATCGATTAGCCTCCCATTATATCTGTACCATATGGAGATTCCCCCGGTACAGCTATTGAAGGCTTCACGAACTACGTGGTCAAAATAGATGTTAAATAATGTGGGAGCCAAAGGACATCCCTGTCGCACCCCAAGGTGTACAGGGAATGGCTCTGACTCCCGGCCACGTAGTTTTACCCGGGCCCGCTCACCATCATGAAGGTCCTTAATGATCGTGAGTAGAGGGTCAGGTACTCCAAAAGCACGAAGAACGACCCAGAGCCCAGGCCTACTGATGGTATCATAGGCCTTGACCAGGTCAATAAAGCAGAGATGTAGGTCTTGTTGGAATTCCCTACACCTCTGCTGTAGCAGACGGACAGAAAATATGGCATCTGTGCAGGACCGCCCTTTCCTGAAACCGCATTGGGGCTCCGCAAGCCTCTCCTCAGCGTGCCTGGCAAGGCGATGCTGAATAATCCTTGCCAGGACCTTTCCCGGCACACACACACAGTGACACACACAGTGACACACACACACACAGTGACACACACAGTGACACACAGACAGTGACACACACAGTGACACACAGACAGTGACACACACAGTGACACACACACACAGTGACACACACAGTGACACACACACACACAGTGACACACACACAGTGACACACAGACAGTGACACACAGACAGTGACACACACAGTGACACACACACACAGTGACACACACAGTGACACACACACACAGTGACACACACACAGTGACACACACAGTGACACACACAGTGACACACACACACAGTGACACACACAGTGACACACAGACAGTGACACACACAGTGACACACAGACAGTGACACACACACAGTGACACACACAGTGACACACACACAGTGACACACAGTGACACACACAGACACACACACAGTGACACACACAGTGACACACACAGTGACACACACACAGTGACACACACAGTGACACACACACACAGTACACACACAGTGACACACACACAGTGACACACACAGTGACACACACAGTGACACACACACACAGTGACACACACACAGTGACACACACACAGTGACACACACAGTGACACACACAGTGACACACACACACAGTGACACACAGTGACACACACACAGTGACACACACACACACAGTGACACACACACAGTGACACACACACAGTGACACACACACAGTGACACACACACAGTGACACACACACAGTTACACACACACAGTGACACACACACAGTACACACACAGTGACACACACACACAGTGACACACACACACAGTGACACACACAGTGACACACACACAGTGACACACACACAGTGACACACACACAGTGACACACACACACAGTGACACACACAGTTACACACACAGTGACACACACACACAGTGACACACACACACAGTGACACACACACAGTGACACACACAGTACACACACAGTGACACACACAGTGACACACACACAGTGACACATACACAGTGACACATACACAGTGACACATACACAGTGACACATACACAGTGACACACACAGTGACACACACAC